CATCCATCCATCCATCCATCCATCCCTCTTGACCGCTACACCACAGACGCCGGTCTGAGCCCTCCGTTCAGAACTTGTTAGACTTACTATTGCATATCGAGGGTCTCCACTCTATCTTTTAGCTTAGAGTTGTGAGAGTTTTACGGCGCTCGCAAATGCATCAGGTCATATGAGCGCGCGAAACACAATTTGGTTGAATTCACAACAAAACACAATACGGCTTGGTTTTGATCAATGATCCGATTATTGGTGTAAAACTTTCACAATAAGAATTTTAATCTTAAAAAATACCAATTTACATTACATAAAAGTAACAGTATTTACGTTTGTATGTAAATGCCAATGGTCCTTTCAAAATTGAGAATTCTGTTGGGATCAACGACAGAGAACAGGATCTTGCACTTTTGTACAATTAAAATATTTCTTTCGGTTCTATATTTAGCACATGTGGGCTGCTGTGACATTATGCAGAAAAGATGCTATTGATTTCTTTCAAGAATAACGGCGCAAGGTATTGACTTTTTCCATAAGAATTTTTTTTAATGAATTTGTGAAAGTTTAGTTTCAAAAGGTTACTAACAACTATTCGATTTGGAAAGCCTTTAAAAACTCGATACTCCCAAATACTGACTGTGTAATGAAACGATCTTCCTTGTGTAAATTCCAACGCGGGCAAATACCAGGCACAGTTGTCAGATCGTCTGCGTGGCACGTGACTAAGAATTCCCGCCACGGCTGGACCAGGTTCCGTTTTAGTAACGAGCTAAGACGTATGGGATCAGCGTTTTTGTGGTTGTTTTTTTTAGTGGGGGTGGGGGTAGGGGAAAAAGTCAAACAGTGAATACAATATTCATTTTTGGCTCTGGTCTGGTACGTTTAGGTTTCATGCCCCATTCAATATTTACGGTTATTTAAGCTGTGGGACGTCTGAATTTACAGCCCTTCTCCGATAGGAAAAAGGCGGGAGGATGCACAACCGTGAAAGCCACATAGAAGAATTAGAAGAATTAAAAATTAGGAAAATTAAATAAGTATAATCACTATGAAGGTGATATTTTTTTAAAGTGTTTTTGTTCTTTTTCTTTCATCAGGTGGCCAACTTGGTGAAGAAGCAGTGGAAGTGCGGCTATATCGAGTGCTCAGCCAAGTACAACTGGCACATTATGCTGCTGTTTAAAGAACTCATGAAGACCGTGGACTACATAGACTACGGCCACAAACCTACCAGCATGCGCGTACAAGACGCTTTGCGAAGGAACAGATGTCTCATATTGTGACCTTTGTGTTGAGGGCAACGACCTTTTGGGGACTGGAGGTCAGGGTCAAGGACTTTGTCGGCCGAAGTCTAATGTCACGCTAGTCCTTCGTGGGCTGGAGGTCAGGGTTAAGGATTCAGAGAGCGAGGTCAAAGGTCTGGCCCAGTCGTGCTGGGACACGAGGTCAATGTGAAGGACTCTGAAAACGAGTCCTGTCATAATCCATAGTAGACTGAGATTACTGAAAAAAAGATTATGTTGCAAGACTGATTTAAAGTCTCACGGCAGCAGGATCTCGAGATAACGGCTATGTTTCGCCTGGAGATAAAATTATACTGTCGAACGTGTGCAAGACAAAGGAGAAAAACGGGGTTGTCATTGACAAGTGAACATTTTGGACAGTATCTTTGTAAGACAGACAAAAGGCAAGAGGGGAAGTGTTTTTATTTGAATTACTAAGAGTTGCACGGTACTTGCAACACAATACGGTCATATACGTGCCGAAGATTAGATGTGTTTCAAGAGAGCAACAAACACAAAGAAAGAAGGAGGAGAGATAAGGACGATAGATGTTTTATTGGAAAGAAGGAGCAAACCACATCAGATCACCTGCCAACCACCCACGCGGTGAAGTGTGCAAAGGTCGTTTGTACAGGTGATTGTCGCGGTTGGGTGGCCGTTAGAACAGGTTCGAAAGTGTTCCTGAGTCTCCCTGAATTATCAATTTGGCTACTGTCTGTGGAATTTAGTTCAGTTTTAGTAAGAGTTTTACGGGACTTGCAACACAATTTGATATCAACAAGGTAGAGTGCTCTGGTGTGGTTCGCTTCTTCTTTCCTATCAAGCATCTATCGTCCTTGTCTCCCCTTCTTCTTTTTTTTATGTATGTTACTCTCTTGTAACACCTCTAATCTTCTGGCGCTCATATGACCTTATGAAGTTATTGCGAGCGCCGTAAAACCTCTACTAAAACTAAAACTAACAAGGTAGAGTGCTATCAAGAGCGACCATAATGACTGTAAATATTTTTCGCCCCCATCAATACAATTTAGAGCGGTTAGAAGGCGTGCTTCTTCGACCTTAAGATAAGGGCCACCCCGGGCTGAGTGCGATACATTATTATTTTTGCAGAAAAAAAGGAGACACGGTGAAATATAGGGAGATATAATATGTGAGGCATCGAGGGGAAATCAGACGTTCGTCAAAATAATGAAATCGAAGAAATTGGCATTTTATCTGTCGTTTGACAATTTTTTAATCGAATTTTTGTTTAGTGACTCAGCACCTTTAAGGTCCATTTAAAACCACATTTCTGTTTGAATTTTACCGAAAAACGTTGATTAAAGGTATAAAAGATGTAAATTTTCAGTTTCCACGGACTCTCGAGCTCAGGAAATAACTGAACTTTGGCGGCCTTTTTCACACTAATTTTACCTCTAAACCAGGGCGACCCCCACCTCCTTCAATCGTCAATATCTTGATTTGAATCCAAGATAAATGAATTTGTTTTTTCATCAAAAGCAAATCAAATGGATAGGCCTTAAGATGATACCATTAACTCCGCATGCCCAAAAGTTACGAGAGCCTGATTCCACCACGCTATAACACAAAAATATTTCTTGTATCTGTACACGAACTCACGTCTCATGCGTGCTACGGTTAACAGCCTAACCATTACACCATAGACGCCGGTCGAGAGAGATCGGTAAGACTTACGACGAGGTGATCCATTCTTATCACAGTGCTCGAATTTTCCTGTTCGGGAATTTACCGTCCATTTTGCTAAATATGGCGAGTGCTGTGGTTATGAAAATAATGGTCTCATGGACACTCTGGAAACATGTCGTAGATTATTACTAGACTATTATTGTTATTATTATTATTATTATTATTATCATTATTAT